CTTTGAATTTATGTAACGGTATAAGCCATTTAAATTATGAAATCTTGAAAAAATATAAAGAAGAGGTAGTCATTTTAATTGACGAATTTGATAGATTCTTAATTAGCTGCAAAGATGCTGAAAATGAGATTGATCAAATAACAACACTTGCAAAATGCATAAATGATGGAGGAATGGAAGGGATCAAATCAATTGTTTTTGCTGGGAGTTTTTCGATTACTGTTGTGCTTGGAGATAGAATTCCACAAACCAAACAAAGCATTAGAATATCACAAAATGAACAAGCTAATGAATACTTTCAGCATCCTAGAGGAGTTCTCTCTTCATTAAACTCGGCAAAAACAATTGAGGCATCGGATTTTACCAAAGAACAGCACATGTTATTTTACCGTAATATCCAAGAAGATAGAAATGTACATTTTAGTGAAGAAGTCGTGGATGACATTTTTAGTATCACTAATGGTTATGCTGGCTTAGAAGGTCTGCTTGCATCATTGTGCATTGAATATGCTAGCAATGAGCAAATCCTCGACTTTAATACATGGAACTATCGCTTCACAGAATTCATTCGTAATCCAACAAGGAAAAAGATTAATGCGGTTAACCATGTTGAAAAATATCTTAGCGAAAATGATACAACTCAAACTTATAATCCTCTGATCAAAGGCGCAAGAAAACTTCTAGAACGCTTCTTACAAAAGGGAACTCTACAATCATCAGAAATCACTGATGAGGATTCAATCCCCCTTCTGCATCTACGTGCAATTGGCATTGTAAAGAGCTGTGATGGCCATTTGCTTGAGTTCACATCTAACCTCGTTCTTGATATATTGTCAAGCACGTATTATCCATTCTATAGAGATTCCTTAGCAAGAATCCAAAGTATCAACACACCTTCAGACTTCTTGGAGAAAGCCTTGAGTCTTTTGAAGTACATTCGTCATGATGTAATTTTTCATTCATTGGCATCCAATCATCACTCTTTTTCCGAACAAACAATCCAAGGAGAGCTTTATGCTCTCCTACGCATGGCTATGTCATATCCAACGTATAAGGTTTTTCGTGAAACTAGAACTTCAAAAAAATTCTGAAAAAAATGCGACCTTTGGGTGTGTAATAACGAGGAATATGGGATAGAATGCAAGGTTAACAAAGTTTCTGATACTGAAATCAAAAGTACGACGGATCAGGCTATCGGGTATACGAAAGGACGTGAAAAAGTGTGTTGTATGTTTGTCTTCAACTTTGTGCCATTAGACAATAGACCAGAGAACTGTCAATTCTTTTTTCCGAATGTCGTCTACTTCGAAATAGTTTATATTTTATATTCTAAAGAATCTAAAAGTGCAAAAATCTTTCGCAATGGTAGGCAAGCAAAGGAAATTCCTTTTGCATCGAATTAATCCAACATATTGTGCATTACAAATAAATCTATCACTCGTGTAAATGTAAGCTACAAAATTATAAATTCAAAATTTAAAAAATTTAATGAAAAAGCAAACAAGTTGAGGAATGTATCTTTATTATTGTGGATTTATAGTAGAGTAGCAAGATTCAAGGGAAGAATATTTCAAGCTTTAGCCCAATAAACAAGAATTCTTTTTGCTTAGTTATGCAAGTTTACTTGCCACCTAAAGTATTACTAAATTTCCACTTACAAATCCTAATATTTGGTACTTTGGCCTTTAACAGTACCAAATCCAAAACTTTTAAGAGTAGAAGTTAATGAAATTTATATTTGCTAGCGATTTTACTGTGCCAATTATCAATACAGTACTATTTATATAAGATAGCTGCGCAACGCAGTTGCGTTAGAAACCAGAAACGGATGCACTAGTGGGTTATAATTGAAGTTTTAATTTTGTGTACGATTAGTAGTGTGAATATTTTTACTATGTCTATGTTGAATTATAAATCAGAAAAATAAAAAAAAAACAAAATTTCTGATTTTAATTTTGAAACCCCACTTAGTTGATTTCAGTGATATAGTTTCATAATACAATAAGTGAATGATGTTTTAAACAGATCAATATGAATAATCTAATGGACCATATTAACCAGCTATTGTTAATAGTTAGCATTTATATATTATCTAAAATCAACTGATGTTTTGTGAATTTTAAAACCGCAGATATTGTCAATGTTACGGGGTGAAATTGATTCGCCAGAAGCATGATTAAGGAAATTTATTATATTTATATTTAAAAGTTTTAATTTTATTGATTAATTTGTTTTTTGCTGTCATAGTACAAACTCTCAGGGATTTATTGCTTATAAAATATTAAAATTGTTGAGTCCCAATAACTTACTGCCAAGATTTGAATTTTATACGTTTCACAAAAATAGGCGAAGGGTCAAACGTAGGCGCAAATTTCCAAAGGATGAAAAGATTATATATTGAAGGCATTTTCAAATGGACTTATAATAAAATATCATATTGGTTCTTTCTCTGCAAAACCATTCTTTGAGCATGTAATTCTAAGCATGATTTTGCTGTGAAAAAACCTATATTCTGCTGAAAAAGTGCATTTGCTCAAAAATTTTCAAGGTAAATTAACTAAAATTTAAATATGAATTCAAATAGTTTTATACTATAAACTAACTTATAACCTGCTATCCTATTTATTATAATAGTTAATCATTAGCCACTTGCACGCCCACCCTTTAACCCTTTACAGGATTTCAATGAACTTCTGTTCATCACCGTCAATTTCTTTTTTTAAAACTTTTTAGATTTTTGATAACGCGTTTCGCACACCTCTTTAAATGTTTCAAACATTATAAGTTCCAAATATGTTATTGCTAATGCCGAACATAAAGCTTTCTCATTCTCAATTCCAATATTTTTAAAATCTTTAAGTCATTTTTACCGAACCAAGAATAAAACTTGTTAGATGATAGCAATGAACCATCAAATGATTGAAATTCAAGTAAACTATAAAGTGTTTCGATTTTCGAAGGGTCCATTTTCTCAGAAGTGGCTTCAAATGCAGATACAACGGGTTCGTTATATAAAGATGTAAAATCCGTTTTTGAGATAGCATTTGAAATACATCACTTTGTTTTCGTTTTTCTAAGGTGATTTAACGCAGAATGATTATATATTAATCGTTCAGCATATCCATCATTTTTGAGAAATTTTGAGTCAATAGAAATCAATCAAATTATTTTTATTGAATTTTTTTAAAACTTTACACACCATAACTAACTTAACCAAAATTTGATCAAATTTAATAAAATTTTTTTTAAAAAAATTTTTATTAAATTTGATTAAGTTTTTGTTGAGTTATTGTTGTTTAAAGTTTAAAAGCATTTACTTAGAAAAAATTTGCTTGATTTTTACTGACTCAACCCACTTATTAACACGTTAAACAGCTATGCCTATTATGAAGTAAAGTAATATCATTCTTATTAAATAATTTATTAAGTATCTGATAACTCATATGAAATATATCGATCGTTTTTCTCTGTTTTTAGAGTGATCAATCTAACATAATTCAAAACAAATCCATTTGTTCTGTTTAAGCATTGTATAAAGAACATACTGTATATTTATATTAACCTTGGTATTTAATTGAGATATCACGTTCATGAATATTCACATACAAATTGATTCATTCTATTCGCATTTAGTGCATAAGCATAAAGAATTTATTAATCTAATTATTCATATTTATTCATATTTACTATTTAATTTACTATTTAATTTTATCAGTCGCATTAATTTAGCACGTTAATCTAAGTATTTAATTTTGTTAATTAGTTGCTGAGTACAAAAATTATATTTAAATGTCGCATAAATAAAATCTAATTTAACTATTAATTACGTGGTATAAATTAGGGATGTTGTCCTGCTTAAATCTGCTAGTTTGTGCTTTGAAACCCGTTCGAATACTTTTTGGAAACACATACGTAAACTGGGTTTCAAAATCTGGTTAAAATTATTTACATGCATATACTATTGATTATGTACGCTTAAGCATGTTAGTTTAAAACCTGCTGTATATTTATTTATTATATAATAAATTATGTGTACATTTCGCTTGATATTTATTATATCAATGTTTATATATTACATTTCATTGCAGTGATTATTTTTTTGACCCTCATATATTCAATCATACCCAATTCATACCACGTTTTCAAACAAAGGTTTGCACCAACATTTTCTTCAG